ACCTAAACTGTCGGCAGTTGATTTCAAACTTGTTGAGATTTGTTTTGCAAAATATATTTATATAGAGATATACATATATATTATGGTTTCACAAAATGTTGCAAAATGTTTTAATTCCCGGGATCCATGTGAGCAGAGAGTGTAACACTGCACCTTGCAGTCGAGGGAGAGGCCCTCTCTTGTTAGGCAGTGTTTGATCATTATAGGATGAGAGGTTAAGTGTAAGACCATTTAGGGCTTTTACCTGATGGGCTAATCTCACTTAAGTCCATAGTCCTTGGGCCTTCATAAGGTGGATGGACCCAGGGACCATTTTGTGTAAATGTTGGGCCTGCTAAGAGCCCATACTGATGGGCTTAGGGGTTCACTGTCTTCAGCAGTGAATTCGGCCAGACCTTGTAACAGAGGCTAGGCTGAACCCATATGGCTTTTGTGGAGATCAATGTTAGGGTCCCACGCCATACAAAGAGAGCCAAGCTAGCCAGCAAATTAAAGGGGAAGTGAGCCTGATGACTTAATGGGCCTAAAGCCCAATTCGAACTAGGCTAATTAGATTAATAATTATGGGCGAATTTGTGATCAGATTTGCTTCTAGATTAGCAAGAGGATAAGATATGTCTTATCCACTTAGGAGTTCTGATCCAAATAAAGAATTGGATCAAAGAACCCTCTCTTGATATGATTAGGAAGCTGATCCAAGAAGGATTATAAATAGAGGGAGAAATCCTTCTGTTAAATACTTTTGCAAATTCCAGATCTTTTCTCTGTTCTTGCTGCCCTACCCAGTTCGATCTCCACATTCTTGGAGTGATCAAGATTGGATCTTGATATTGTTTCTTACTGGAAGAAATAATCTTGAAGTTGTGCTCACATCCCTGCGTGATTCTTGTTGAAGAATTGGGGTTCTTGTTGAAGAATCTCTTTACTGATCCTACCTCACCCTAAGTTGTGTCATCTTCAGTGGAGGACGGATTTGGTGAACTCTTTGGGCGTGAACACCTATGTTAGGAACTACTGTTGATTCCGTATCAAGTATATCCCTCCCTTAATCTTGGTTACAGATTTGGTCCGGTTTGTTTCAAGAACGAACCTTGAAAAATGCAGTTTTTCTAAATCAGGGAATAGGATTCCCAAAAGGGAGAAAGAAATTTTTGAAATTTCGCCTAGCCACCCTGCATGGTTTGGCCATCCATATGATGGATCTCCCTTCCCTTCAAGGAAGTCGGGGCTAAACACCTTGTAGTATGCAGTGACTCGCAACTCGTGGTCAACCAGGTGAATGGACAGTATGAGGCTCGAGAGCCCACCTGTCGGCCTATTTGGCCAAGGTAAGGGAACTCCTGCCCAGCTTCCACTCTTGGTGCCTCCAACAAATCCCAAGATCAGAGAACACCGAAGCCAATGCACTTTCTAAGTTGGCTAGTGCAATCGACTCAACGAAGAGGACAGTCTACATAGAAGACCTACCACGCCCAACTATAGAAAGGGCAACAGAGGAGGTCGTCCAAGTGATGACAACAGAACTGAGTTGGATAGATCCGCTCATTGATTAATTACGCCATGGAATATTACCGAAGGAACGCAATGCGGCACAAAGGATAGAACGACAAGCTATATAGAAGGGCATTCCCACTCCCCTACCTGCGTTGCCTGCGTCAAGCAGAAGCGGATACGACAAGGGTACTATTGGCCCACGATGAAGGTGGACGCAATCAAGCTAGTGTAGAAGTGTGACAAATGTTAGTGACATGCCAACATCTTGCACTAACCGGCTACTGACCTAAAATATCTTACCAGTCCATGGCCGTTTGCACAATGGGGAATTGACATGTTGAGCCCCTTCCCACCAATGACCAGGCAGAGAAGATTTTTAGTAGTAGCAATAGACTATTTCACGAAGTGGGTAGAGGCCGATCCGTTAGTGACCATCACAGCTCGGAACATTYAGAACTTCTTTTGGAGGATTATTGTATGCAGATTCGAACTACCAAGGGTTTTGATCTCAGACAACGGCAAGCAATTCGAGGGTATTAAATTTCATAATTGGTGCGCGGAAATGGGCATAAAACAAAACTTCACCTTGGTCACCCATCCTCAAGCTAACAGTCAAGCCGAGGTAACAAACTAGGCAATCCTCTGTGGCCTTAATCTCGGCTTTCCCGAGCTGAAGGTTTGTAGGTGGATGAGCTGTTAAACGCCCTTCAAGATGGCGACAGGTGAAATGCCCTTCAACTTGACATATGGAACTAAAGTCGTGATACCAATAGAGATTGAAGTGTCGACCTTACGGTCCAAGATGTTTGATGAAGAGACTAACGAGGAAGACCTACGAACCAACCTCGACTTAATAGAAGTCTGAGGCCTCGCCTACATTCAGACCGCAGCGTACCAACAGTGAGTGGCTCAATACTATAATGCCCGAGTGAAGAGATGCCAATTCAGGGTTGGCAACCTGGTACTCAAGAAGGTTATGGTGCCTGAGCCCGGTGTGGGAAAGCTAGAACCGAACTGGGAAGACCCTTACAGAGTCTTCAGAGTGATAGGTGAAAACACGTATGAGCTCGAAACACTGGAGGGGAAGATGGTACCCCGTGCGTGGAATATAGACAACCCAAGGAAATACTATCTCTGAAAAGAAAGAGTTTCGAGCTACGTCCGCGGATTTGCGAAAATTTTCCAAGGCACCCAAGCCAACCTCTCGACAACTCGGCTAAAAGAAAGCATAGAAAAGGAGTTCCGAGCTACGCCCGCGGATTTGCGAAAATTTGCTGAGGGGAAGATGGTACCCCATGCGTGGAATATAGACAACCTAAGGAAATACTATCTTTGGAAAGAAAGAGTTTCGAGCTACGTCTGCGGATTTGCGAAAATTTTCCAAGGCACCCAAGCCAACCTCTCGACAACTCGGCTAAAAGAAAGCATAGAAAAGGAGTTCCGAGCTACGTTCGCGGATTTGCGAAAATTTGCTAAGGCATCCAAGCCTAACCTCTCAACAGCTTAGCTAAAAGAAAGCCTAAAGGGATACCAAAGCTTTTTGCACTAAGGCACCCAGCCGATCTAATGACAGTTTGATCGATTTGCGCGACAGTTAAACAGAAAGAAACTCCATTCAAGAAGATATCAGATACGGGAAAAGTAAATAGCATTAAGCATACTAAGGCCAAAGGCCGAGGTACATATATTAAAAAAAAAAAAAAAAAAAAAAAAACTCAGCAGCAGAAAGTTCAACATTATGAGCACGGAGGCCTAAGAAACATCAACTTACAGGAGCTCACAAGCTCCCAGAAACAACAGAAGAAGAGAAACCAACAAGGCCGATCTACTCCTCGCCACCACCTTGCAGCTCGTCATCGACATCGTCACCCTCCTCGCCCTCTTCTGCTCCAGCTACTTCCTCATCCTCATTAGGAGTCAAGGGCTCCCCATCAACTTGCACAACAAGCTCATTTGGCATGTCGTTGACAGAGAAAAGTGTCGAAGTCAAAATCAGGATGAAGCGTCTTCAAGTAGCGACAACAAAGCTTAAATCCCTTTCGCATCGCAGGGATTGCATTCTCCACCTTCTCCTGGGCATATTCAGGGGAGTCACGGAAACGATCAACGGCTGCCAATTCTACTTGGCAGATATCCTCTATATACTTAGTCCGCCTCTCTTCCAATCGGCACTCCTGGGCAGCAATGGTCTCCCGAGCCTCGTCCAACTTGCACTACATCTTTCCGCTCAGCTTGATGAATCACTGGCAGTCCTCCTCGGCGCTTAGTTGGATTTCTCGCATCTGAGACTACAGTGCGTCAACACTAGACTACAGCTCGGCCTTCTCTCTCCGGCCTAAGGCGACCTGATCCAACAGTACCTGTCCCATGGTGTTCACCTACCAAATGAAGAAAAGTATGATCAGAACAAAAAACACATAACCAAAAGACAAAAGCTTCGAAAGAGGACAAACCTAAAGTATACAACGAGTCATCCGAGTTCCAACGTCGGCTAGGTCCAAACCGCAGTAATACCGCACATCTTCCGGAAGCCGCATGCCCCTTCCCATCCAAAGAGCTACATATGGGTCGTTCAGGCGATCGATCATAGAGACGTCAACATTCGGGACGAAGCGAGTTATGTCGGAGGTGTAAGGACCGGCGGCATGTTCCTCTTGGACGACTTGAGGTTGAAAGGCAGCAGGGCCCATATCGTCCCAGTCGGTACTCATAGGGTCGCCGCCTCCCTCGAGGTCGACGACGGAAGTGAGCGAGCGACAACGACCTCACCTCGGCACTGGTCGAGGTGCCCTCCATCGACGAATAGTCAGCCCTTCACTTCTTCCTCGAAGCCGCCTTCTTAGATGCCACCAAAAGTGACTCCATGGTCGCCATATCTAAAAAAGTTAAAGAGAAGTTAGTCGAGCCAAAAAGTTAAATATCAAAAGCAGATATAAAGGACTTGAAGGCCGACTTACCTACGTGACTCAAGCTGGCCTGTATGAGCATACGCTCGGCCAAAAGGTTCTCTACTAGAAACTTCCGGCGAACAAAGTGTTGAACTGCAAGTCGTATCTCTCCATCGAACTTTACATTGAAACTTCGGCAATCCCTCCGCAATACAGTATCCATATTCCAGCAATTACTATGAGAAAGGAAGAAGTACCTATTCTTCCAATCTTTAACTTTGGAGGGAAAGTCAACTAGCATCTTATAGCCGCTACGGAAGGGAAGGTAAAAACAGTAGGGAACATTGGGGACCTTTTTCATAGAGCACAGCCCGGAGAAAACATCTAAATCCAAGGGGAAGTTGTGGTGGTGACACAAAGAAATCAGCCCTACCAGAGTTCGAACTACATTGGGGTGTAGCTGACCTAAGGAGACATCGTAATGCGAGATCATCGCAAGAATAAAAGGGTGCAAGGGAAAACAAAGACCGGCAACTAGCGTCTCCTCAAAGACACAGACCGTGTCTTGGCCATGACTCTAGGGATACTCGTTAGGGCCAGGCTAGATACAGTCAAAATCGGCAGGTATTTGATAAGTACTATACAGCTCTATTATACGCTCACTAGAGAGCTCGTAAGGATCAAAAGGGGATTCCGCTGTTCGGACCTCTACTCCTACCCCTAGCTCAGACGCAGAAGACTCTCCCTGAGAATCCTCTCCCAAAGATTCCCTCCCATCCTACCCACCTATAGTCCAGCGATCTACCCTTTGAAGGATCAAAAGACATTTATAGAGGAAGCTACTCACCGGGTAAACGAGACAAAGGAAACCGGAACCGGAGACGAACAAAGTTTCAACAGGCTAGTAGACAACAACACCTCAACTGAGACCTTCTCAGATCGGTCATCCTCCTCCTCAGAGAAAAATCCAAAAACAGTGTGAGTGAGGCCTCAGTGGGGACCCCATATTTATAGTCCACTGGGAAGAATGGCCAACGGTTGGGATGCGTTGATAGCAGATCGACGATCGAGACGACGACGACGCGTGCGGGCTATTTTGAATTTAAACTTTGTGCGCTCACTGTGCGTGCCCTCCTTTTGAATTCGAAATTTGAAATCTACCGTGATCCCGCCCAGTCTCAGACCGGATCAGGTGAGCGAGCCGAGCAACCTACGAACCAGTCGAACCAATTACCTTATTAAGAGCTATTCCCTTCGTCGAGCTGACGAAGGCTCGGAAGTGGGGGTTAATTGATGAGAGGTAATTTGGTCCTCTAAATTACATCACGACACGTGGCCTTCAAGCGATACCTTGGCGCTGAGTAAGCGAACCATCTCGGCAAGTTAGCCTAAGACACCTCGCATGGGCTGACCTCAGTTGCTTCGGTTGGGCCGGGATAACAGGGCTCACAGCGTATGGCAACCTACCTCGGAGACTGGTCGAGCTGTAAGTGAAAGAATGGTAGGATCCATCTAATGGACACCAAGAAGGTTGCGGAATGGGTGGGCGAATTTCAAAAATTTTCCTACCTTCTTCCAACCGGGAATCATATTCCCTAAATTTAGAATACAATATTCAAGGATCCTACTTGAACCATAATCGAACCAGATCTGAACCAAAAGGAAAAAGGGAGGAATATACCTGATCCGGAGAAGCAGTATCTCCCAAAGTTGGTGTTCACGCCCAAAGAAGACATCAAGATCCGCTCCTGCTGAAGATGACACAGCTGTGGGTGGAACGGAACCAATAGAGTGCGTCCTACACACTGAATCATTCGCAAGAATCCTCTGGAAACTCTGAACACCGAATCCTTTTCAATCTTTTCTGCAAGACTGATGTCAAGAATTGATTTCTTGACTTCTTTCTTCTTCAAAGATCAAATCTTGCAAGAAGGAATGGCGGCGGCTGGAGGAGAACTCCAAGGATGAAGATGGCTGAAATCGCTTCTCTTCTCTCTAGAGTGTGTGTGAGATCTAATCTCTATTCGCAGGAAGCTTTCTTGCCTTCTCAAAAAACCCTTGTTCGAAATCTAATAATTTTCTCTTAGAGTTTTTCCTCCTTTTCTTCTTGATTAAGAAACCTCCTAATTAGGAGTTATCCCAATCCAAATCAGTATTTGGATAGGGGATGATCTTAATCCTATCTKCAGATTAAGTTAGCTTACTCCTGTTCTTATCAGGAGGTTACCTGATTCAAATCTGATTTGAATTTGGTCTCCCATAGTGGATAAGGTTAAAATGCCCTATCCTTT